CAGGTGACAAAGCAGCAGAAACTTCATTAATTATTTGCATCTCCTGACGTGTCGCCGTGATCCGACGCAGCCTCATTAACCTCGGCGCCGAGTTCACACGTCCTCCGTCTCGGCGGTGGCGTTATGTGGAGCAGAGCGGTCGGGCTGAAGGTGAATCCGGCTGCTTCTTCTTCTTCTTCTTCTTGTTTTCAGAAGAAGTCCAAACGTGGTTCCTCTGGAGGATGACTGTGTGGGGTTTTTGCATATAAAGTGGATCATTACAGGAACGTTTCGGGTTTTTGCTGTTTAGATGCAACAAGGTGCAGCTGCTGCGCTGAAGCCCAAACAGAAATAAGATGATGAAAACGCAGTTTATTGTACACGAGTCACTTCAGACGCTGCAGTTTGTCTTGATGGAGGTGAACTGTTTCATCCTCCAGACTGAAGATGTTTCGTCCAAAATTACCAAAAACTACAGAATGATTAAACGAGGATCTTTAAATCTGACAGATTTAATTTGAGACTCTGACATTTCACTAAAACGAGGAAGTAAAACGATTTATTAGTTTAAAATGTGACGTAAAACATTCAGCTTCAATGTCTGTTTTTTAAAAATCGAGTTGTTCTGCAGCTACAGAAGAAAACCAGGAAGAAGAAGGAGATTAAAACACAATAAAAACTACCACAGTGTGAAGAGAGGAAGAAGGAAGAGACATAAAAACACAGGATGGATGAAAAACCAACAAAATAAATAGTAAAAGAAGATGAAGTAGAAAATGAAGAAGATAAAGAAGAGACGAAAAGGAAGGAAAAGACAAAGAGGAATGAAAATATGAAGGTGTGTTAAAAAAGATGATGAAAAGGATAAAGAAGACAAAGAAAGTAAAGAAAAAACATGAAGAAGGAAAAGACTGATTTTAAAAAAACTGTGAAAAAAATACCAAAAGAAGAAGAAAATAAAGAAGACAGATGAAAAAGGAGAAGAAGACAAAGATGAAGAAGAAAAAGATTTTTTAAAATGAAGAAGATGAAGATAAGGGTACAAAAAACAGAACAAGAAGATAAAGAAGAACATAAAGACAACAATGAAAAGAAGAAGAAGAAGAGGAATAAAAACATGAAGGTGTATAAAAAAGATGAAGAGAAAGAGAAAGAAGACAAACACGAAGACGGTAAAGAAAAAAGTGGAAGAAGGAAGAAATTTAAAAAAACGATGACTAAAAAACGACAGGGTGCAAAAAAATAGTAAAAGATGATGAAGTAGAAAATGAAGACAAAGAGGAATAAAAATATGAATATATGTGTGAATAAAAGATGACGAAAAGGATAAAGAAGACAAAGAAGGAGAAGAAGACTGATAAAAAACACGAAGAATGAAAAACAACAGGGTACAAAAAATACTAAAAGAAGAAGAAAATAAAGAAGACAAAGATGGAAAAGAAAAAAAAATTAGAAGATGGAGAAGACGAAGGAGATGAAGACAAAAAACACGTGATGAATTTAAAAAAACAGCACACGGTACAAAAAACAGTAAAAGATGATGAAGGAGGTAAAGAAAAGAGAGAAAGATGTAGAAGAAGACAAACAAGATAAAAACTAAGAAGGAGAAGCTGGATTTATTATTTCCAGATTAATTATTACTTTATTTTTACCTTTATTCCAGCAAACACTCGGTTTTATTCTCATTTTCCCAGAATCAGAGGAGAAACGTCTGGTTCTGTCCACAGATGTTCAGTTTAGGAGCAAAGAAACCAGAAAACATTCACATTTCAGTCAGACAGTTTTCTCTCTTTAAATTACTCAAACTGATTAATTGATTATCAAAATAGTTGCTGATTAATTTAATGGTTGACTGGCGACTAATTAATCGTTGCAGCTCCGCCGTTCGCCGCCGTTCGTCACTGTCACGTTAATTATTTTTAACCTTTTCATATCTGAAGCTGCTTCTTGCCGTCACGGCCGAGAAGTTTCTAACGTTAGACGAACGTTTACGTGAACAAGAGGCGAGAACGAGACCCAGAAAGACAAAGATTAGACGGAAAACAGCCAAAACGAGCCACAAATTCAGCACCTTTCACATTTTCAAGGGTCAGTAAATAAAACTGGAGCGATTAAATCATTCTGATCAGCTGGAAGCTTTTCTGTCTGCGTCCAGAATAACTGTAGATGTGTCCAAGTTACACAAACGTTGTCCAAAATGACAAATAAACGTCCAAATTACTCAAATTGTGTCCAAAACTACACAGAAATAGTCCAGAATAGTGTATTTATCCAAAATGAGTCAGAAAGTAGGAAAAAACAACTTAAAATCTGTCCAATTGCCAAAAATTACCAAAAGAATGTCCAAAAGAAATCCAAAATGATTCCAGCGTTGTCCAAATACCTCAAATTTTGTCCCAAACTGCACAAAAATACTCCAAATGACCCAGAATGACCTAGAATTTGTCTGAAATGAATTGTAAATTGTCCAAAATGACTGCCATATT